AGACTGTATAATGAACAGAACTTTGCAGACTGTATAATGAACATAACTTTACAGACTGTATAATGAACAGAACTTTGCAGACTGTATAATGAACTGATCTTTACAGACTGTATAATTAACAGAACTTTACACACTGTATAATGAACAGAATTTTGGCAGGCTGTATAATGAACAGAACTTTACAGGCTGTATAATGAACTGATCTTTACAGACTGTATAATTAACAGAACTTTACACACTGTATAATGAACAGAACTTTGAAGGCTGTATAATGAACAGAACTTTGCAGGCTGTATAATGAACAGAACTTTGCAAGCTATATAATGAATACAACTTTGCAGGCTGTATAATGAACAGAACTTTGCAGGCTGTATAAAGAACAGAACTTTACAGGCTATATAATGAACAGAACTTTACAGGCTATATAATGAACAGAACTTTACGTTCTGTTCATTATACAGCCTGCCAAGTTCTGTTCATTATACAGCCTTCAAAGTTATGTTCATTATACAGTCTGCAAAGTTCTGTTCATTATACAGTCTGTAAAGTTCTGTTCATTATACAGCTTTGCAGGCTGTATAATGAACAGAACTTTGCAGGCTGTATAATGAACAGAACTTTGCAGGCTGTATAATGAACAGAACTTGGCAGGGGCTGTATAATGAACAGAACTTTGCAAGCTATATAATGAATACAACTTTGCAGGCTGTATAATGAACAGAATGTAAAGTTCTGTTCATTATATAGCCTGTAAAGTTCTGTTCTTTATACAGCCTGCAAAGTTCTGTTCATTATACAGCCTGCAAAGTTCTGTTCATTATACAGCCTGCAAAGTTCTGTTCATTATACAGCCTTCAAAGTTTTGTTCATTATACAGCCTTCAAAGTTCTGTTCATTATACAGCCTTCAAAGTTCTGTTCATTATACAGCCTGCAAAGTTGTATTCATTATACAGCCTGCCAAGTTACGTTCATTATACAGCCTGCAGAGTTATGTTCTTTATACAGCCTGCCATGTTCTGTTCATTATACAGCCTGTAAAGTTCTGTTCATTATACAGCCTGCAAAGTTCTGTTAATTATACAGTCTGTAAAGTTCTGTTCATTATACAGTCTGTAAAGTTCTGTTAATTATACAGTCTGTAAAGTTCTGTTAATTATACAGTCTGTAAAGATCAGTTCATTATACAGCCTGTAAAGTTCTGTTCATTATACAGCCTGCCAAGTTCTGTTATTTATACAGCCTTCAAAGTTCTGTTCATTATACAGCCTGCAAAGTTGTATTCATTATATAGCCTGCAAAGTTATGTTCATTATACAGCCTGCAGAGTTATGTTCTTTATACAGCCTGTAAAGTTCTGTTCATTATATAGCCTGCAAAGTTCTGTTCATTATATGGCCTGTAAAGTTCTGTTCATTATACAGCCTGTAAAGTTCTGTTCATTATACAGCCTGCAAAGTTCTGTTCATTATATGG